TGGACATCTTTGAGCTGGTTGTTAACTTGCAGAACAAAAATGCTGTGGGAGGGGCTTCAAGGAAAACTTAGTGTGACTGTGGCTGTTCTCCATCTATTTGCCCTGCCTCTCCCCTGGCTGTTCTGGTTGGTTTGATATTCTGGGTCTCACCAATTTCTCTTGATTTTTATGAGAATTTGGCTTTGTTTCCTGTTTTTTAATCCTATTTTATTGAAATCCTTTTTCTGTATACATTTTAAAAGGAATAGAACACTGTATTTTTAAATAAAGGTTTTTATCTTGTCCAAAGCCTAACTACAAGTAAAGTATTCTTCTTTGTAAAATGTAATTAACAAAGAATGAGAAATTTATGTTGGAGAACATTTTATGAAAAAAAGGGTAAGATAATTCAGTGGGTTGGTAGTAACAGGTCTTGGTGGCAAGTCCCAGCTTCACAAATCCAAAAGTTAATCATGGTCAGGCTCTGCTGGAAAATTAGTTGGTCTTAAAGGTATTTGATAAGTTCTGTTTGTGTCATCTTAGTGAACGCAACCTTTTAATGATAATGGCTTTTGTGCTGCTTGATTTTCTTTTTTTCCCCTCATTTTAAAGAGCTAATTACATTTTTTAAATTGAATAAACCCTAATACTATTATTTGTTTTGCTTTGGAATAGCAATTCTTTCCATGCAATTACGTGTGGTGGTGTTCTTCCTATAGTCCATTGCCATTTTTCTTTGCTAGACTCTATTCAAAATTATAAAATGGGGTTAGTTTATCTCTTGCCTCCTCGCCCCCACTACACGCACCAGGCCATGTCCCTTGTAGTATTGTACAAGGTCAACCACAATTTGTGATTTAGAAATAGGTAAATGATTAAGTACATCTGATGTACAGATGTATAGATGAGAATTGTTTGGTTATACCAGTCTTCTCAGGCATTGATAACTATGATTATTTGGGTCTACAACCTCTTCTCTACTGTGTTCCTCAGAGCCTGGCTTCACACCTGAATGGATCTGATTCTCTCTCTCTCTCTCTACCCCCCCGCCGGCCCCGTACAATCTACAGTGTAGCAGGATGTCACTAAAATAGTATGTATATATCTGCATAGATGCTATTGAGTGCGAGGGACTGGGTCTTCACTGGCCTTGGCATTTCATCCCTTCCATTTCAGTTAGACACTTATCTCAGTAAGTTTTATTTTTGCACAGAGGTCATGATATAACTCAGTAACTAATTATCACAATTATTTCATTAACATCATTGGGCTGGTAACACTAAAGATGATAAATTTAATACTTTAGAAAATATGTTACATTAAGGTACCAAAAGATAGTCTTGAGATCTAGAGAAATACTACTGAGCTTTACTGGTCTAAACTCTAACACATGTACCAATTTAGAGAGGCCATTTATTGAAAGCTGTAGAAAGATGAATATTGAAAGATATGAACCTTTTAGCCTGAACAACTATGGCTTTATATCTCTAGATGAACCATATTTTCAATCTTGAATTACATAAAAATTGTCGTGTGTTGTTTTAATTTAAAAAGTAGCCATAATAACTAAGTGTTGTTAAATTGCTTTTGAAACATTCTTTTTTTTTTTTTTTTTTTTGAGACGGAGTTTCGCTCTTGTTAATCAGTGTAGGTAATAAGTGCTGTAATTTTTTAGCAGTTATGAGGCTTTAGAAAAGATAATTTAAAATCAAAGTAAAAATCTGATTAAAATTTCTTTAAAAATGGATAATTTACAGCAAAACTGTCCAAAGCTTTCTATTTATGGTAAAGCATTGCCAGTCCGGGTCTCTACCAATGGATTCGTATAGCTGTAAGCCTTTTAATTCAGGGAGAAATAAACTGGGCCAAACTACAGTGTGTGTGTGTGTGTATGTGTGTGTATCCTATGGAGAGGTTTCAGGGCTTCCTCATCAAAATGCAAAATTTAGGTTTCTGAAACAGAATCTCTGATACAAAAATATATTGGAGTCACTATTCTAAGTCCTCAATTAAAAAAATTTTTAGGCCTCTTTGAGCATCCTTCTAGATTCCCAGATTCTTAGCATGAATTAGGCAGAATTTAAGGGGCACCAAGAAACTCAGCAATCAGGATTTGTGACACTTTAGTAAAATATTCTAAAACTAATGAAAAAAATTCAAGATGAATAAATACCAAGATTTTAAATAAAGACAAGATCAGTAAGCTAATTAAAATTACTTAAGATTGTTACTTGGTCAAGAAAAATTGTGAGACATGGCAATTCTCTCAAAACAAGAAAGAAGTAGATTTGAAAACATTACTGATCAGTTTACTTCCATGAAGAGTAAAGTTATATTAAATTCCATCTTGGCATAAATATTTAAACTTAAAACAATGTTGTGAATTTTAATATACCTGTAGTGTGACGGGTCCTCCCTGGCTACTAAAGAGTGTATGTCCACTGCCTGAATCCTGAAGGCCAGGCCATGTGCCAAGATCATGGTGACCAGCCAAGGAGCAGGTGTTTCTGACAAGCCAAATATCCCAGAGAATATCTGAGAACCTGCCAAAGAAAACAGTTCCATCACATACACACAGCAGGCAAAAAGCCAGAAAATTAGCTTACAAGTATCTTAGGGATGAGAGGCCAGGTGGATCTCTACAGCTGTCCTGCTGCCTTCCGGGAGTGCCTCATATGTAAATCCTGATAAACTCATCTACTCGCCAAGCTGGACTTGTCTGGGTCATTCTTTGGTTTCTTGGCTTCCTCTCAGTTTGGGGGAAGGTTTTTATTAATACAATTCTGTTTTTTTTTTTGTTGTTGTTATATCTACTTTAAAAATTTTCTTTTCAATACTTCAACTACTTTAATGTTCTGGAAATATATGTGTATATATATTGATATGTATATATATATTTATATATATATATACATACACACACACACATATATATACACACATACACATATATATATATATATATATATATATATATATATATATATTTATTTTTATTTTTTTGAGGCGGGGCCTCACTCTGTTGCACAGGCTTGAGTATAGTGGTGTGATCATGGCTCACTGAAGGCTCAAACTCCCAGGCTCAAGCTATCCTCCCACTTCAGCCTCCCTAGTATCTGGGGCTACAAGCACATACCACTATACACAGATAATTTTTTCATCTTTTGTAGAGACAGGGTTTCACCATGTTCCCCAAGCTGATTTTGAACTCCTAGGATCAAGTGATCCACCTACCTCAACCTCCCAAAGTGCTGGGATTGCAGATGTGAGCTACTACTGGACCTGGCCAAAATTTTTTTAATTAAAATTTTTTTTGTTTTCGTCTTTTTTAAGTTTTGTGGGTACAAAGTAGGTATATATATTTATGGGGTGCATTAGATGTCTTGATACAGGCCTGTAACATGAATTATGCACATCACGGGGGATGGGGTATCTGTCCTCTTAAGCATTTATGGTTTGAGTTACACACAATCCAATGACACTCAAGCTATTTTAAAATGTACAATTAAGTAATTATTGACTATAGGCTCCCTATTGTGCCATAAAAAGTAGTAGGTCTTCGCATGTTCTCACTCATAGGCAGGTGTTGAACAATGAGAACACATGGACACAGGGAAGGGAGCATCACACACTGGGGTCTGTTGTGGGGGAATAGGAGAGGGACAGCGGTGGGTAGGGAGGTTGGGGAGGGATAACATGGGGAGAAATGCCAGATATAGGTGACGGGGGGATGGAGGTGGCAAACCATATTGTCATGTAGGTACCTATGCAACAATCCTGTATATTCTGCATAGGTACCCCAGAACCTAAAGTGCAATAAACTATATATATAAACAAACAGAATAGTATGTCTTATTTATTCTCTTTTGTACCCACCAACGACCCCCACCTTCCCTTCAGCCCCCCAGTAACCTTCCTAGCCCCAATTTAAAAAAAATTCAGAAACACATACACGTAGGGGTGCACATTCCTCCTTGTGCCTCAGGCTCTAATGCGGCTTGGATCCTGTGTTCAGTTACAATGTTAATTCAGTCATGCACTGCGTAATGATGTTTTGGAAAAAGACTGCATTTACAACAGTGCATATTACAACAGCGGTCCCATAAGATTACAATGGAGTTGAAAAATTCCTATTGTCTAGCGACATCGTACCTGCTAAAACATCAGAATGCAATGTATTACTCGTGTTACTTGATAATAATGACTATGTCACTGGTTTATGTATTCACTATACTTTTTATTAACTTATTTTAAAAGAGTTAACTGTAAAACAGCCTCGAGCAGGTCCTTCAGGAGGGATTCCAGAAGAAGGCATTGTTATCACAGGAGATGACAGCTCCCTGTGTGTCACTGCCTCTGAAGACCTTCCAGTGGGACAAGATGTGGAGGTGGAAGGCTGAGATTGATCATAATGACCCTTTGTAGGCTTAGGCTAATGTGTGTGTTTATGTCTTAGTTTTTTAAAAAAGGTTGAAAAGTTAAGGAAAAAAAAGCAAAGGTAGAAAAAAAGCTTATAAAATAAGGATATAAGAAAAATACTTTTGTACAGTGGTACAGTGTGTGTTTTAAGCTAATTGTTATTACAAAACAGTTAAAGCATAACAAATATTAAAAGATTTGGCTGGGTGCAGTGGCTCCTGCCTGTAATCCCAGCATGAGGGGGGTACGGATCACCTGAGGTCAGGAGTTCGAGACCAGCCTGACCAACACGGAGAAACCCCGTCTCTACTAAAAAATACAAAATTAGCTGGGCGTGGTGGGGCACGCCTGTAATCCCAGCTACTTGGGAGGCTGAGGCAGGAGAATCACTTCAACCTAGGAGGCTGGGGTTGTAGTGAGCTGAGCGCCATTGCACTCCAGCCTGGGCAACAAGTGTGAAACTTCGTCTAAAAAAATTTTTTTTAAAGATTTATAAAGTTATAGTAAGCTAAAGTTAATTTATTACTGAAGGAAGAAAAATATTTTTTATAAACTTAGTGTATCCTAAGTGTATAGTGTTTATGAAGTGTTTAGTGAGGTACAGTAATGTCCTAGGCCTTCATGTTCAGTCACCACTCACTCACCCACAGCAATTTCCAGTTCTGCAAGCTCCATTTATGCTAAGTGCCCCATACGGGTGTACCATTTTAATTTTTTATACTGTATTTGTACTGTACATTTTCCATGTGTACGTATGTTTAGACACACAAATACTTACCATGTATTACAATGGTCTGCTATTCAGTACAGTCCCATGCTGTTCAGGTTTGCAGCCTGGAAGCAACAGGCCACACCACACAGCCTAGCTGTGTAGCAAGCTTTACCATCTAGGTTGTGAAAGTACATTCTATGTTGTGCACACAGAAACAAAATCGCCTAATGACGCATTCCTCAGGCCTTTCCCTGTTGTTAAGCTACACATGACTCTTGTTTTGTTCCTCCTGGATTTCTTGCATTAATTTTTATGTTTTAAAATATTACATTCAAATATTATTTGATTACCAGTTTTTCTGGTGTTCCCTTAAATTTCACAATTTGTCCGCCCTTCCCTGGCTCCCCTTTCTTTTTCTGCTTTTCTAGTGCTTTAACAGGCCTGGGAAATTTTCCCTCCCACCCTCCCTCCTTCCCTCCCTCCTTCCCTCCCTCATTTCTCCCTCCTTTCTTCCTCCCTTCTTCCCTCCCTCCCTTCACATTTCTCTCTCCTTCCTTCCTTCTTCCTCCCTCCCTCCTTCCTCCCTCCCTCCCTTCACATTTTTCTCTCCTTCCTTTTCCTTCTTCCTTCTTTTCTTCCTTCTTCCTCCCTCCCTCCTTTCCTCTCCTTCCTTTCTTCCTTTTTTTTTTTTTTTTTTTTTTGAGACAGAGTCTCACTCTATCGCCCAGGTTGGAGTGCAGAGGCGCGATCTGGGCTCACTGCAGCCTCGACTTCCCGGGCTCAGGTGATTCCCCCCACCTCAGCCTTCCAAGTAGCTTGGACCACTGGCGCGCACCGCCACGCCCAGCTAATTTTTATATTTTTTGGAGAGACAGGCCGCACTTTGTCGACCAGGCCTGTCATCAATCTTTTGCTTTTTTTCCCCACCAGGCAGAGCTATTCTGTTTTGCCTATCTCGCCCCCTCCCGGGCCCAGTGAGGAACCTCATCACGTAATTTCATTTCATTCGAAACTTGAAACTTTCCAAAGTTACCACTTGGCGGCGTTGATCCATCCTCTCGGGCCCAAAGAGAAGCTCGCGGAACTTCAGAGTTAAGGGGAGGCGTTTCCCACAGAGCTGGCCGGCAGTATTTCCAAGGCGCACGTTGCGGAGTTTCTCTTTCCATTTTCATCTCGCCAGCTTCGCGTTCCCTGTGCCCCGGAAGTGATTCCCTGACTTGCCGGGTTAGAGCGTCAGGTGAGGGAGGAAGAGAGGGCAGACGTGAAAGAAGTGCTGGAGTCGTGTGTTTTGGCTGCGCGCGATCCTGCGTGGATCGGGAGTTGGTTCTGTGTGGGTGTGTGGCCCTTTCCTTCTCAGTTGTGCGGAGGACAGCGTGGTTTCCTCCCAGTTCTCGGTTTTCAGGGTGGCGCCACCTCCAGGAAAGGGCATCAGTCTCTCCCGACCGTGTGGCTGGGTAGCCCGGGGGTTTCTACGCTGCTTGGCGTTTGTTAACGGAGATGAAGGCAGTAATTTTTCAGCAACGGGTTTCAGATATAAGTCCCTTGGTGACGCTAATATTTATTGAGCCCCCACTATGCGTTAAGAACTTTTTTTTAGAAGTTTAGAAAATGGCAGTGAATAAAGCAGATAAAAATCTCTGCCCTAAGGGAGCTTGCATTATAATGAAATTTGAGAAGACAGTGGATTGGAAGTGGGATTAACTCAGAATCAAAATTGTGTGCATGGGTTGGAGAAAGAGGAAGTTATTTGGGACCAAAAAGACATAACAGGTGTGAGTGTATTTGGGAGGGAGGAAGGAATTCTCACCAGGTGTGCAGGAATGTTGGTATGTTGTGGTGGCAAAATTGCTTTTGCCGTAAGATGTAATGTTTCTTTCTTCTTTTTTTTTTCCTTCAGGAACAGCCTAAAGATTAGACTGTAAGAAAAGAAAATAGAAGCCATGTTTCGAAGACCTGTATTACAGGTAGTCACTTGTCTGTATTGAGATGTATTACTGTCAGACACAGTGATCAGGCATCTTTAGGCTTTTAACTACAGGGGCAAAAGACCTAGGAGCTCACCCACCCACCTCTGTATTCGTTTGATATGGAGGACTGGGGATGGAGTTTTCCAGTGTAAATTATGTTCACTAAAAAAAAAGTTGAGGTTTATTCACATAATGTAATAGGAATCATTAATTTTTAAAACGTGTGTTGCTTGAATTTCACCAGTGATAGGAGATTAAAGATCTTTAGTGACCTAAGGACTATAGGAATCATCATTCCAACTTTTTTTTTAAGACATGTAGTTGCTTTTTTGACCATCTACCTCCTGTGTTGCTAAACGTTCCTCTTCCCCTATCTTTCCACACTGAAGAAAGCAGCTCACATCTCAATGGTCACCACAGATTTCACTATGTAGAAAATTCCTTCTCATTCCACTTAATCTGGCTCCTCACTTTTCCAGTCACTCTAGCCCACCTTGAGCCGGCTTAGACTACCATTTTTCCTTAACACATTTGGGCAGCAAATTCTTTATCATACTTCTCTCCTACTCCCTATCCTTCTGTGAAGACCAATGAAGAATCACTTCCTCCATGATGCTATCATTTTCCCCACCTTAATCTTATATTCTTCAATCCCCTCTTTAACTTATATGTATCTTTAATCTAATTTTTCTGTATTGAAATGTGAAACATGAAAAAGTTATTTTTCAATAACACTAATGTTACAGTATTAAAATGTCTTTGAATGAAAGTCAAAAGTTTAATTTAAAAAATTATCCAAATAATCCTTTCCTAATCCTCTCCAGTACGTCTTGATTTTTGTGTGCCCAAAATGAGACATTGTTACTGTGTAAGATTTATGAGGTCTAGCTTGTCTGAGCACTCAAATGAGTACATTCCCATAATCATGACACAGGTTCTAGTTAGCAGTTTGTTTCTATAGAATGTTGTACTCATATCTTTATTTTCTTATCCACCCTCTGCCCCTAAGTTTAGTGATAGGATTAGATAGCCAGCAGTACCCAGGGAGTTGGTGTTTATTTGATTGGTAGACTTGTGCTTTTTGTATTAACAGTATTGCCACTTTGAAAATGTTTATCTGATAGAATGGCTAGCTCTCTGTACTCTGAATTCAGTGATGTGTACTCCTATCTTTATAGTAGCTCTTGAAATTAAGGAGGCAGCAGAGGGCTTTGGGAAAGCAGTAACATTGGTGCCAGAGGGCCCTGGGTCCTTGAGATCACTTGCCACATACTTCCTGCAGGATCTTGGGCAGGTTCTGCAGTCTCTCTGAGGTTGTTTTCTCAGCTCTAAATGGGGATACTTTTACATTTGGTTTTAGAATTGATAATAGATAAATTTCTTAGCTGATATTCAGTAATGATTGTTGCTATTATGTGGTAGTGACTGCCTTTTCTGACAATGATATGACTTTGATTTGGACAGTTGAATCTTTGTGTTTAATCAAAGAACCAAATTTATTAGACCTTTTTTTGGATGCACTGAAGGAATGAAATTTCCCATGAAATATTTATAGAAACTATATTAGGCTAACTTCACTGCAGAAGCTGTTTAATTTTTGAAATAGCCTTATGAGGTAGATATTGACTATCATAATTTTTGCTTATTTTGAAATGAAACGCTTCAGGTTAATCATATTTGATGTATCCTAATTCCCTTAAAGTTCTGAATGAGCAACCAGGGGAAGGCAGTTTCATAGACACAGGGTCTGATTTTGGAATGTGTTCCTGTTCCCATGTCAGAAAGTCATTCATGTGATTAGTTTAATAATGTATTGTTTTGTTGGAATTTAACTATTTCTCATTCTCTAAACCAGCAGTCCCCAACCTTTTAGGCACCAAGGACTGGTCTCATGGAAGACAGTTCTTCCATGGAGGAGGAGGGTGCCGCAAGGATGGTTTCAGGATGAAACCGTTTCACCTCAGAGCATCAAGCATTAGTTAGATTCACATAAGGAGCACACAACCTAGATCCCTTGCATGTGCAGTTCATAATGGGGTTTGCACTCCAGGGGAATCTAACGCCGCTGCTGATCTGACAGGAGACAGAGCTCAGTCAGTAATGCTTGCCGCTCACTTCCTGCTTTGCAGCCCAGTTTCTAAAAGACCACAGACCTCTACTAGTCCTCGGCCCTGGAGGTTAGGGACCCCACTCTAAACTAGCTGTTCATTATGGCTGAGAGTGAGGCTTAAGTAATGCCATTGTATTTATTCCACACCTCCTGACACCTGTTAGATTATTGCATATGTTATTAATCTGTTTATTAAATTATTAATTATAAAACATCTCTTTTTAAGTGTCCTTTGGTTTAATGATGGATTAAATCAGTACCCATATTGGATCTAAATTTCTTAATTTCTAAAGTCTATAACCAAAATATAGCAATAATATACCAGTTGTTTATACTAAAAAAAAAAAAAAAAAGGTGATGTATATATTGGATATATATAGTACATTTTGTCTCTCCAGCTAATGAAAGCTGGATTCTGAAAATACTTGGCAGCAACTCTTAGGTACACATTAGATTAAAAACATTTTCATACTCTGTAATGTTAAAGTGCCACTGTTTTGATTTTTCCTTCTGTGTGTGAACACAGAAGTGCCATAATCAGGAAGATTGTTGCAAAAGAAACGGGAGGACTATAAATTAACTCTTGAGCATGCCTTCTAGTACCTTCCTTGTGCCTTTGGACTTCTGCAGTTTGCTGCTCTTGAAGTGTTTGCCTCGTCCTTCTGGCACTCTGTTGGGAGAACATGGGAAGAGCTTCTCGTCTCTTCTGGAATTTATAGGAACTACTGACTAAATCGTGAATGAATGTGAGTAATTCTTCTGTTGGCATTTGCCTTAACTGAAAAATTAAAGCCATGTTATTCATTTGTTCTTCGTTAGGTACTTCATCAGTTTGTAAGACATGCGTCTGAAGCAGCTGCCAGTTTGATTCTTGAAAGATGTGAGTAGCTAATTTCCAAGTTTAAAATGTTATTTTTGGCAATTTGCTGATCTCAGATGTGCTGTAGAAGAGGTATGCTGGTTAGGTTAACCATGTTATTGTGCCTTTAGCTCACATTTGCTCTTCAGATCTTGGTTGTGACCCATCAGGCTGTGGACACATAGTATAAACTGAGCCCCTATTCTTATCAGCCAGTGACTACTCATTCTCATCATTACTGTCCTGCATAAGAATTTCCTGAGTCATGTTTGGTTATCTGAGTCTTCCCAGGTTATGTTATTGCAGGCCGAGATTGTAAAAGATATTGTGTCTTCACAGAAATATTCCCTTGTATTTATAAAGATTTTCAGATCTCAGATTTGTTCTTTTCGTTCCACAGTCAGTTAAAAAAGATATCTTAAAAAAGAATTTAAGATATAGAGCTTACAGTTTGTTTTGTGGGGCTGCTTTCTCGGACTATATTCTTCTTTCTTGTCAACTCTCTTTT